GATAATTAATATACGTCATTTGTATTATTCAAATGAATAATATATAAATTGTGAGAGACTTGGTACTGTATTATTAAGTTGCTTAAATGTAAGATTGTTTATCTTATAAATAATAAATGCTTGATACAAGTTTGTTCACCCGTATTCAAATTGGTATCTTTTTATTAAACACCTAGTTATTAACAGGATTAGGTTTAGTGAAAGAAACTAGACGAACAAATATTTAAATGCTTAATGGGAGAAGTGTTCATATTTAACACTCAATAGTACCTTGATATGATTGCCTCCAATAAAAAAAAAATACTATATCTAGAGAAAAAAAGCCTATTTGTGTTATAATTTTTCCTACTCGTTATATCATTAAATTTGCTTCAACGACGTCCAATCATGTTGTCGTCTAATATATTGTTGGTATGAAATGGTTGCTGTTCTATGGTCTTCCATCTGCCCTTAGAATTTGCATGTGTAGTTTTTATTGTTATGTATTATTAAAAGTGAAAAATAATCATTAGTGGTCCATGCCACATCATCATGATGTCATATATTCATGAATAAATGTTTACTAGCATCATAATCAAACATTGAGCATAAAAATTCACATAAATTTTTTTTAAAAGAGGTAAAAATATCATCTCTTCTTTAATTGCTCTAATGTCCTTTATATTTTTTTTGCGATTCCATTAAGCATTTAGGTGTCAATTCTTAGATGCTCTATTTCTTATCACTGTCAACTCTTTCTTCTTCTCACCATTCTCCCTCTTTAGAAGAGCAAAATCCAGTTTTGCAACCAAAATTCTTGATGGTCTCTTCCTCCTCTTTAACCAAAAAGATAATCCTGTTGGGGGAGATGAGAGAAAAAGCATCTAAGAGCTAACACCTGAGCACTTGGTTGGATATAAAACAAAAAAAAAAAAGGCATTTAGATATGTATTTGTATTAGCAGTAGCAAAAAAAAAATTTTAATACAGGCAAAAGTTATTTTTACTTTATCTGGTTTTTGCAAATTTAAAATAAAGTAAAAGTCAAAGGGTATAATGTGATTTATATTTGGATTGACTCTTGTAAAAAAGTTAGTTTGACAAATTAAAATTTGTTTGGATGATTAATTGAAAAGAAAGTTTAAATATAAAATGATTAAAAAGCATATGAATTTTATTAAATAAATAAATATTTATACACACACAATGGCTAATTTTAGGAGAAATATAACAATTAAAATTATAGAAATAAATTGTTAATGTATTATTATATTGGAAAAAAACTGTAAATTAATACTAAAATAGTTAATTATATTTATTTAATGTGATTTCTATACATATGTTATTAAATTTAATTTTCGCAAATTTTATTATTTAATTTTTAGGCTATGCAACTATGAAATTATTGGGTCTTTTAAAGTAAGTTTATTCTTTTATTTAAGGTGGGGGGGATTTTTTTTTTTTATACTTTTTTTTCCTTCTGATTACTCCATTCTCCATCTTTTATTTTATCATGGAAACACTTTTTTTTTTTGGTCATTTTTCTCCAACGCTTTCCTCCTCTCTCCATGGTGATACTTGACTTTTGCTTTCTTTTTTTTTTTTTTCAATACATAGGTACTGATATTCTTATTTAAAATAGTCTTGTTCAATATATTGTTGAGTACTAAATATAAATACCTCTTCTCATAAAGATTCTAATCTTCAACTTTTCTTTTTAAGCAGCTTGAACTTGGCTTATAAAATTAAATAACTTTTACACAAAAATCAGATGGGGCAACAAAATGCCCCCATAATGCTTCTGTCATTTTCTCATTCTACTTTCAAAATATGGCTCCAAGCACAACTAAAAACAATTAACGGAGATAACATTTTGCTCTATTTGACACCCTTCCCATATAGTCATCTCAAATGTTTTGGCCAAGACCAAACACACAACCTCATGCTCCTTAGCGTTTTGTGTTGACCTTGCTGCCTGAGATGAAAGGGATTTGAGATATCATCTCTTTTCTCTTTCCCTCATCTTCCTCCCTCCACCCTCAGAGTCAAAAATTCAATGATTAAGAATTAATATTTTATAAAATTATTACTACTTTCGGTTCTAAATATAAAATATGATTTATGATATAAATTACACTATAAACTAGATTTTATATTTAAGTGCTTAGCTTCATGTGTCTTAACCTTTTGTCTAATCAAATCAGAACCAGTGAATTTTAAAGTATTAATATTAATAATAAAAGTTTGTTATTAAGTAAATAATATATTAAAAAAATCCACATGTCTCAATTTAGTTGGAAATAAAAACCTTAAGTATATAAGTTTTTCCCACAAATAAAAGAATAATTTTAAATGGCTAAAGTTTGATCCCAATTGACAAACTGTAGAGCATAAACTGTTCGAGGCGCAGCAATTATATTGGATAACTCCAAATCGCTATATAAGCAGTTTTCTTTTAAGCTCCTTGGCAAAAGGAAAAAAAAGGTTTTATTTAAAGCTAAGTTCAACAGAAGTAGATACAGTTTATATCAATTAATACTTGTCTCTAATTTAATTAACGCATTGCTTAAACTTCTCAGCATTATCGTTTCAGATTTTGAAACCTATACTGACCCAGAATTTTTTTTTTTAAAGGCGACAATGCACATTAATATAGGGGTATATAAAAATATAAATGGGTTGGGCAAAAAATATAAAAGTATAAATGGGGTTCTCTACGCCGATATCTTAATTTTGGGGAAAATATTTACTTTCATGATAATATCTGTAAATCACTTCTTACATGTTTCACTTAGATGGTTAGACTAAGAAAATTCTTAACTCTACCTTAAAATTTAACAATTATTCAACTTTGACCCCTTGTAGAAGGATTTTTTTTTTTGGGTCTGTTTTATAAGACCCTTTGATAAATGCTTTTTTTCCATGTAGACCTGTATTAAATAAGGATAGTAAGAAAGTAAAAAATTAATATAACGTTGAAATTTACTGTAGTTAATGAATGTAATATTAGATATCACTTAAATTTTATAATAAATTGAATATTTTTAACTATTTTTATTGGTATGTATAAATTAGTTAAATTATAAGGTTCTTGATAGTAATAAGCTGCAATACATTTTGAATTTTCGTAGGGAGAAATTCTCATATTTAGTGCCCAATAATACATCGAACACGGTTGTATTCAATGAGAGGATACCTATGTTCTTAGAAAAAAATGATAAAATAACATATTTATAACAAAAAATTACAATGTGGCTTATAAATAGTAAAAAAAAAATCTTTTATCTCTCTTATTTTATCTTTCTTTAACTAAAATACCACATAAATTATTTTTAGATTTAAGCTGTACATACAATGCTTAATTTGGGTGTTTATGATCACTAAAAAATATTTTTACATTTTACAGCAAGATAAAGGTTTTATTATATTTATCTTATACATAATGATAATCTAAATACTCAACCTAATTCATTGGATAATAAATAATTATTAAGAAGTATAAATTTATTTTATTATGATTAAAAAATTTCGATGAATTAAACAATGTTGAGAAATGGTTCGCATCTTTTTTTGGATGTGATGTCTCTTTTGAGTTAGATAACATTAAAATTTATATAAAACATTTAATTTATAACAGATCACATCTTTCTGTTTTAGTTTTTTCCTAGCAAAATCACAACATTCACATAATTGTAAATATTTATGATTAATGTAACTTAATTGTTTTCCGGTCGAAATGTAGCTTATTGTTCAAAATTCAAACCCACTGCAAAGTGCAATGTAACAATTCCGGTTCCTACGATAAGGACTCATATTCACATGTTAAGAAACTCTTTAAATATATGTATTAAATTGATAAAAAAATTTTAAATTTACTCCTAGGAAAAAAAAATTTTTCTCTGCATTTACAAATTATTATCACCTCTCTCCTATTTTTCTCTCTTTTCAACCAAAATTAAATAGGGATGAAATTAGAAAACATTCATTAATAACCCTTCAAGTGACTCATATTTATAATCAAATTTTTCTCCTACAAATGACTTAATTATAATATGGATTGGAGTAATATTCACAAATAATAATAATTTAATAATAATAAAAGCTATTTAATACTAGGGAGTAGTGAGGTGCATCTTATTAGTTATTATTATTAAGCATACGAAAAGCTGGATTAGAAGGGACAAGGAAGATCAAATTTTCAGCATAATATATACGGAAACTTGGAAACCTAATAAATGCGGTGACTGTCAGGCCAAAAGAAATTAAAAAAATAAATTTAATATTTGGATTGAAAAGTTTAGATGGAATACATATAAAAATTTCGGGTACGTAAAACTTTTACTATACACATAATTGATTTTTTTAAAATTTTAAATAAAATCCAACTCATATATAGATGATAATGCACCCGTCATCTTCTATCACTCAAATCAGTGAAAGTAGATGGTCAAAGAATTGGTTAACGTTCAAACTGTGTGTACTTTGATTCTTTGAAAACAAATTTTAAGATTTTATTTTACGCCAAATAATAATAACAATAATATTAATAATAAATTTGTAATTTTATATATTTTGTGCATAATTTTTTTTTTTTAAAAAATAAGGTTCACGCAGAAAGATTTTAAAGTAATGGTCACACATAGAGAGTCAGACAGAGTAAAATATCTGTTATAGGTTTAGAAAATCATTAAAGACTCACTTTATTGCAGATATCAATTTTTGGAGATTCTCTCGCAATTTCACACACGTTTGCTTTAAAGCTCAATTGCCCTCTCTTCTTCCCTTCTTCCCTTTAACCACTTTGCTCCCCTTTCAGTTTCAGCAAATCTCACTTTTTTCTCTCTTTCTCCTTCTTCTTCCTCGCAGAATCAAAACCTAATGATCTCTCTCTTTTTCTCTCTCTACTCTGACCTTCAACACGTATGGGTCTTAAGTAGGTTTCGCCGTTTCTGATGATCAAGAAACCAGCCTCTGAAGTCTGATCAATCGGTTACTTTTGGTTTTCTCTGACGGTGGACCCAGATGGATTCTGACGAAGAAAATAGGGTTCTTTTTTATCGGCAAGTTAAGTCTCACGGTGATGGATTTGATCAGGTGAGTTATAAATTTCTTCGATTTTTTATTGCTCTTTGAGTTTCGCACTCTAAATTTTCGACGACGACTCTTCAGATGATCGAGGACCAGAAGGATAACGAAGGGTTCGATCAGGGATCTTCCGACGAGTTACAGAAGATGAGCGAAAAGCCGTTTTCGTCTTACTCGGAGCTCCGCGAAGGAAAATCTGAGAGTAAAACTAACGGAGCTTCAGCTTCAGGTTCGTCATCAGTTCGAGTTTGTGATTTCTGTGGAAGAGAGTTCAGTTCTGGAAAAGCCCTAGGAGGTCACAGAAGATATCACATTCAAGCTCAGAAAAAGATGGAGGCGCAGAATCAGGCTCAAGAACGAGAAAAGGTGAATCGTCATCAATATCCTTCAACTAATTATACCCTAAGAATCAAGCCCAATAATATCTCTGAGGATTGCGTCGGCGATGATAATCTCATCATCAAATCGAACATTGGGAATCTCAATTCTTCGAGATCTTTCCGTTGTTGTGTCTGCGACAAGAATTTCCCCTCCAAGAAGTCATTGTTCGGCCATATGAGATCTCATCCTGAGAGAGAATGGAGAGGTATGAACCCTCCTTTCACTGATCACGTTCTGGCTTCCTCTTCTTCTGCAGAAGTCTTCAAAGTAGAAGATAAGCATCAAGATAATGATGAAGTTAATGTTAACAACAATAATGGATCTTCATCTTCAACTTTAGAAGAGTCAGTAGTAGTTGATCTTTCTTCATCTTGTTCTGGAAGTAGCTGGCGCAAGAAAGATAGAAGAGGAAGAAAAAGCATTGGAGCTGCAGAAGCAGCTCAAACCCTTATTGAGATGTATCTCTATGGAAGCTACGAGCCACTATTACCAGTGAAGAAAAGGAATAGGGATGTGAATGATGTTGGTTCTTCACAACCTGGAAAACAAAGCTTGGATTACAAGGAGAAGCTAGAGTTAAAAGCTGATGAGAATAATATCTGGGAGATGAAAGTGATCAGCTTAATGAAAGAGAAGAAGCTTAGGAAGAAGAACAAGAAGTTAAAGAAAGGTCCAGAGATTATCAAGTCAGAAGGAGAAGTGCTGATAAGAACTCTGAAGGAAGAAGTGAAAAAGTCACAAAGCTATGTCTGTGACATCTGTAATAAACCTTTCTCGAGTTTTCAAGCTTTAGGGGGACACAAATCCAAACACAACAGAGGAAAGAACATAGTTATAAGCACCAAGGGAAGGAAGTAGTGGAAGAACAAAGAGGAGGAGGAGGAGAAGCAGAAGAAGAAGAGGACAAGGTTTGCATCAATGGAGCTTTGTCAAGTGCAGGACTGATGAGTTGTGAAGAAGAGGACGAAGAAGGAGAAGGAGAAGGAGCGTCTCTGATTGTTAGTGAAGAGAGATTAGGATCAAGTTCGAATGACCAAGAGAATAACAGTAATGAAGAGGAATTGGGAGAGGCAAGTCATCAATCTGCAGGTTCGAAAATTCTGGATTTTGATCTGAATGTGCCTTATGTTTCGGAGCACGAAGTAACTGATGATATATAATGAATAAGTCAGCATTTTACGAGTAACGTGTGTTTGTATTTTGCCTAAGCTTTTTCTAGGCCATCACTGTATTTTCTGAACTCTCTCAATGGCCATATCATATAGAACCTTGTAAATTGTTTTTTTTAACATGAATTTGAATCATCAGGTTCAGTTGATTCAAAGGTGTTGAGGCCTAGCTTACCACTCAAGTTAAAACAAAATAACTTTTTATCGATTTATTTCTCTCTTATATAATTGTATATAAAGACTTAATTGTTGATAGAGTATAATGATCTCGTACAATCCACCTAGTAGAATAAGACTTGTTGTAGTTGTATATATAGCTATGTATAAATTTCTTTTTAATTTCATTCTTTATTCTTTCCGATAAATATGGTTTACATTATTTCTAGAACAAAAGATGAAATAATATTATATAAGTCACTTATTCATCAAAATCAAGAAGAGTTAGTTGACTCATTAAATTTAATTTGTTTGAAAATGTGAAACACTGTTTCAACTTTGCCTATATTTAAGATTAAAGATAAAAACCATTAGCATTATAGTCTTCTAGTGAGCTGAAATAGGAGTGATCGATATTTAGAAAAAGTTTATTAATGATCTATTGAGTAACTTACAATTATATACCGAGATTTCATTTTGTTTATACAACCTCTGGTTCTTTTTTTTTCATAAAATAAAATACAAATTGCATTTATGAAAAAGTTGCCAAAATTAAAAGAGTAAATAGGTTAAAGATATATCAGCTAAAAAAAGGTTAAAGATATAACTTAATTTTTTTATTTTAATAATAAATAATTAATATATATATATATATAGGATTAAAAAATGGTATTCAAAATTTCAGATAGACTATTAGGCCTTGTTTGATTCTTGGAATAGTTTTATGAAATTGTTTTTTCTAGAACAAATTTTGAGAAAAAATAAAACATATATGTATATTTGGATGATTATATTCTTCTAAACAAAATTATATTTGGAAAAAATATATAAGAAATTGTTTGAAGCACCGGGTAAACCTGGAGAGGCAAGTGCTAAAGCCATCAAAAACGCTAAAAGAAGATTGGGCTGGCATTTGTTGGCCAATTTTACAGGGACAAAAAAAACAATTTTACGGGGAAAAAAATAGAAAACATTGTTCTTTTTATTTTATTTTTTAAAACAAATTATTTTCTTATTTTACAAAAAATTTAACTTAAAAATTTTTTCAAACAGTGTTGTTGTTTCAAAACAAAAAACAAAAAATTGTTTTGAAAATAGCAAATCAAACTAGGCGTTAGTACTCTTAGTCTTTTTATAAGTTAGAAATAACAGAATTATTTAAATTAAGAAGTTGACTAAAATAAGTTAAAGGTAATAAATATATAAAATGTCTTCTTCTTTTTTCTAAATATATCCTTAGTTACAAAGAATGTGAGTGAGACGGAGAATGAGCAGAACCTGTTGTAATTTATGCAAACACATATAATTAATTAAAGCATAAAAATAAAAAACGCATTAAAATTCTAAACACATCCAAAGTAAAAATTATAAAAAGAACTCTATATACTCCAAAAAAAAAATTATAACTTATCAAAAAATTCGTAGGGCTGCCATGTACTATAACTGTGCTAACCGTTTCTTGTAGTGTACAGTCTACATACATTGCATTTTATAGTTCGTTTCTTCTCTAGATATTTAATGCTTAAATATCTTTTTTGAGAAAAATTGGTATAAAATATTTAGTAGTGATTGCATGTATGTAAATATTAAAAAACAATTGTTGACAAAAGAGAAATCTTGGAAATCAGAATTCAAAAAGTTGATTCTCCTTAATTATTGATTCTTATTTTCACAATAATTAGAGAATGTGAAATAACAAGAGAGATGTTATCAAAATCTGTTATGATCTTTGATATTTGAATAATATCTAATGAATTTTCATCAAACTTCACCTGCAAGTCACTCGCGAACGTAAAACAAAGGTCTCAACTCATAATTTATTTTTTGGTCAAAAAACTCATAATCTATTTTTCACTTTTTTTTATGCAATATTTATCTTTTCAATTTTACAAAATTATTAATTATAAATGATGAGTTGAACATTTTTAACGATAAAAATGATTTTATTTTAATTTTTTTGCCAATGAAATGGTTTTTTAGCTTAAACAATTCTACTGTCATATAAAACTGATATAATTAAAATTACAAATTAAAATAGATCATAAAAATTCCGTAAAAAAATAAAATAAAATTCATACAATACATTACAACAAATGAATCAAAAATTATGATAGGATAATTTTCATAATTAAAAAGAAGCATAAGCAGATCTTTTTAGGGAGATTTTCTTAGCTTCTTGGCGAGAAGTAGAGGTAATTTAATCATAAATTTATTCAAGACCAATATCTTATATTTAAAAAGTTAATTTGATGCAGATCTTAAGGAAAGCAATTAAATATACACCAAAGTTCATCAGAAGAAGCCATGGATCATTAAACTACACTACAAAAAAACAGTGAATTAGCGACGAAATTTGCGACGGAAACAAATTCCGTCGCAAATTAGCGACAGAATCTGCGACGAAATTCATTCCATCGCAAATTAGTAACAGAATTAGCGACGGAAATTCCGTCGCTAATTTTTTTGACAGATTAGCGACGGAATTTCTGTCCGTCGCTAATCCGTATTTAGCGACGGAATCTTTTCCTGTCAGACAATTCCGTCGCTAATTCCGTCGCTAATCCGTCAAAAAAATTAGCGACGGAAATTTCGTCGCAATTCCGTCAGAAATTAACGAAGGAATTTGTTTCCATCGTAAAGTTTAAGAAAATAAATTACATAGGATATATATACAAGTAGGAAAATACTGTTTATCGTAATATATTTAAATCATTTAATTTTTTATATAAAATAATTTATTAGATTTTATTATAGTAGTTATTTTTTGAATTTTTTGAATAACAAGATTTTTTGACTAATTGTAAATGATTTTTTCAAATATATAAACCACATATACATATATAATATAATGTAATATAATATATATATATATATAATTAATTAAATTGTATATCTTATCAATGTTAATTAAAAAATAAATTTAAAAAATATTTATGAAAAATTATTTATGATGTAAAATTCAAAATTAGTGTCGTTAGAAATTAAAATTATATTAAAAAGATTTTTGAAAAATAAAAAATTATAAAAATAGTAAAACAAATATTTAAAAATTATTTTTTCATTAAAATAGTTATTATTAAAATTATCATATAGTATATTTTTAGTTTTTAATAATATATATGTATATATAATTGTTTGTGTAAAATAATATAATCTATATATATTTTTAATTTTACATAATAAGTCAATAGGTTCATTGCAACTCAACTGGTAAAGCCGCATATGCACACGGAGGAGGTCCTGGGCTGACTTCAAGCCATGGAGAAGTCACTTTGAGAAGGGAATTATGTGGTGGTGACACGTGGCGCACACATAGCGACGGAATTTTTTCCGTCGCTAAAACCATGTTTTTTTGTAGTGCTAATTGAAGCAATGGTTAGTTTAAATTCCGTCGCTAAAACCATGTTTTTTTGTAGTGCTAATTGAAGCAATGGTTAGTTTACAGGTTGGTGGTCGTTATGGTTAAATTGGTATGTGTGTGTGTGTATAGCATAATCTTGATTAAAATAATAATATTTAATCAAAATAATAGCATGATTAGTTCATTACTTGGAGAATGATTAGCCCTTCGTGCTAGATCCAATTCATCATGGTGCAATTATTTATATGTTATATAAAACAATAGAGATATTTACAAATATTTATGTGAATATAAGATAATCACAAATATCATAGATACTATATGCTTCATTCGAATTGCAGCTAAGGTTTTTCCATCATGAAACATTCATGTGAAATTATTCTTGTGAGGATGAGATATATTCACACGCAAGAGTGTGGTAGTTTTGAAATGGATTCGCACAGAATTATGTTAAAATATATACAAATATGGATTATTGTAGGAAGGCAAAAGATAATTTTCTGCTCGTAATCAAATGAGAAACGCAATTTCGTCTATTTAGAATGCTGATAATAGGCTTTAATTCCTTCCATAAAGATCTTAGCTAATCAAAAGGGGGAAGAAAAAAAAGAAGAAGAATTTACCACTCCTTTCTCCTGCTCACTTATTCCCAACTAAACCACACCTTAATGAATTTTTTAGCCAGGTATTTGTATTATTATTTCTGTATTTATAGGTATATAGATATCAATTCTAATAATATCCACCTCTTATGAATTAAATCTTAGATTTGAATTCAATTACATATTGGTATTTCTAAAAATTATTAGTATTATCCATTAATTAATTTTTTTGCTTGTGAGGATTTTAACCCTCAGACAAAGATTTTTTCTTTTTCCCGACAGGAGTTTGACAAAGATCTTATTGTTTACTTTACATAAGAATTTACAATGTTTTTAATGATCAAATTTAGAAGGATATTGATTCTACTATATATATACATACATATATATTTCTTCAGATTTCTTTTATCAAATTTAAAATGCAAACAACTTAACAGTACATTGCAAAGTAATAAACATAATAGTTACTTCCTAATTTTCCAAAAAATTAAGGTTTAAATTTCTCTCGTAACTAGCGAAGTACGAGCGAAATAACTTAATGAATATTATTTTCAATTTTAATTATAAAACCTTGTTTACAGTCAATAAACAAGATCTTATAATTAGGATCGGAGGTAATAAAATCTAAATAAGTTATACTACTTCTCTGTAATTTATTGTATCTTTTTCAGATTTTATCTTAAAAGTTGTAAAATAAATTTCAATAATTTCTTTTTATCTTTAGCATATATAAGAAATAGTTAGACTTTACTGGAATCATAAAAATAAAATAAGCAATTAGTTATGAACTTTTCAAGAATTTAACTCTCTAAAAATTTAAGCAAACTAAATCAAGCAATCTCTATTCATTTATCATTATTTTTATCATTAAT